TGCGCGGAGCGAACTCGGACCACTTTCTATGTGTTGCTTTCATTTCCGGAATGAGTAGGTCACTTCTCTTCGTTCGTTTCTTTCCCTGTTTCTGGATCTCAAATGCCTTCACTCCTCTCATTGTCACTCGAGCCCAGAAGTGCTAGTTTGGAGTGGAGGAGTAGAGGAAAGGAGGTCGGCTAGCCTTCCTTTCATAGGCTAATTCCTATCTATTTTGGTAAGCATTTCTCAAAATCAGGTGTTGGTGTGCCTTCGAAGCAAGCTCCTGCAGTCTCGCCTTGATTTAATAACTTTCGTTACTCGTTCTCCCGCGAGCTACCCATCTCTGGTCAGTCTATGAGATTTCTTTGGTTAAACATCTCGGATGAATCCCCTGCCAATATCTTGGTCTTTTGGAGAAAAGATATCCCTGACCTGTCTATGATTGAAGCCAATGCCCAATTCAATTCATTTCTACCAATGCTAAGATCAAATCTTAAATACTCAAGATCTTGATCGAGGTGAACGCCTGACACCCGAAAGATCACTGCCCGGGTAGCAGAAAGGTACTGGAAGCACAGATCAGCAACCAAAGTTGAGTGATACCAATACGGTCGTGCCCGCTGAAGCCACGGCATTGATCAAAAAACTCTTGAGGAAAAAAAATAGAAAACGAACTAAGCGTGGGATTATATATAAGCCCCATTCCTCACGAGTTCAAAGTGAAAGGGTCCTTGGCAGAAAAGGTAAAGCTATAATCCTCAATTCGTACTTCTGGAAAGGAGTTGCTTGCTTTTCTTAAGCCAATTGCATTTCGGTCTTATTCCTGTCTTTGGCTTGAAAGCAATCAAGCTGGGTTGAGAAGGAAGTGATGTTTAGGCCAGAAATTCTAAGTTGGCAATCAGCAAGATGGGTTGTTGGAAGCTGGGGTTGAACCATATAATGGCTTCAGCTTTGATCATTTGCTGGGTAAAAAGATGAGCCATTTCTCTTCGATATTAACCATCGTAACTTGAATGCCACTCGATGAAATCTCCAAATTAACCATCGTAACAGCTATATAGCAGCTAGTTTTAAAAATATTTGTGGAAAGTTGATTTTTTGAATTTACTATAAATACCCATTATTTTCATTTATCCTTATACAAAATTATTTCTCCCTACTACTCTTTACTCTCTAATCTCTCTAAGCTCTCCCATTTATAATTATCCAAATTATTGTCTAATAATTTCTCCAAAGTACAATATTTAATTATTGTCCAAGCCTTTTTTTTCAAAAGAAAAAAGTTCAAGCCTTTTTTAAATTTTTTTTCTTAAAGTTTTTTTAAAAAATCATTTCATAAATATTTTTATTTTATATTTTAAACAAAAAATGTTCCCTAATTTTTTATTTTATGATTATGCGATTCGCTGAAAAATCGATACGAGAACCGGACAGAATCGTCAGTTTTGAAACCATTAAGAAACCGTAACCATTCGGTTCTAAATCGTAACCGAAACCATCAGTTTTAGATTCCGTATGGTTCCACATTTTTTGGAACCAAAACTGTCGATTTTGGAACCAGAACCAGCGATTCCGGAACCGTGGTCACCCCTATCTTGAGCACTATGGGAACAATCCAAAGGACGGATCAATCCAAAAAGGCTCATTGGTCGATTTTTCACAGACCAAAAGAACTCTTATGGTTCATTTATTTGGCTCTTAGAGCACTTCTGGTGTTTTAGAGTCACCACCTTACTTTGTTTTTGTTTTAAGGGAAAATATTACGTAAAAACCCCATGAATAACTCTAATTAATTTGCCACAATGGATAAAATGCACTATCCTCCAATCATTAAGTTCGAGAACTAGATTTTCAGCACTTTTCGTTGAATCAGTGGTTTGGAATTAATCAAAATACTTGTGTTGCATGAATATCAGATTATTGTTGCATGAACATACTTAAAATGCATGGCAATATGAATGATATGGACAAAGCATTGAAAGCATAAAATAAAAGGTGTAATTTGGAGGGGAGTCCGACTCTAGCTTTATTGGTTGATGATTCTAAGCCGTGTAACACATTCTCCTAGATCCAGATCGGTTCAATTGATAGTATCTTCAATTCATACATCAAAAATAGCAAAAAATCTATACATTAATCCTATCCAAGCCAATATTGAATAGTAATAAAATAAAAATAAATGAAAGAAACGAAATTATTTTTGACCATTTATTGGAAAAAAAAAAGATAAAAAGGGATAATAATTGGATTAGTGTACTGGTAGTCTCATATATCAAGAGTAGGGGATAAGAATTTCTTGCACCTGGAGTATTAACCATCCACATAGCAAGCCAATCAAAAAATGGTTCTTTTAAAAAATTGTTACTATTTTATCCATATTTTTCTCAGTAAATAGTCAAAAATACTCCCCTTTAAATAAAAAATTATTTTTTATTTGATTTGATGTATGGATATGAAACTCATACACCTATTATAAGCAAATCCTTCCCGAGAGTAGGTAAGTAATTTGTGTGAAAATGATACTTTCTCTTTATACAACAAAGATACAAACTGTATTTTCCATTAATTATGTCCTTCAGAAAATAAAAAAAATCAAAAACTTGCTTCAAATGTAAGCATTACACATTAGATTGAATCATCGATGCCAAAATAAATTTAAAATCTAATCCAAAAGCAAAATCATATTCATTAACCAAACAAAATAATGCATAAAATCAAATTTAAAATTAGAAACAAAAGAAAAGTTTTACACGAGTTGTAAAGCTCAAGACAGAACAATAATGTAATAGCTCTAGTTTGAGAAAACAAACAGTTAGTCACCAAAAAAAAAAGACACGCAATTTGAGAAGAGAGATTCTAAATTCTGAAGAAGAGTATTTTTGGGTTGGCAATTTTAGCAATAAGGCGGCTAAATCTGGTGGTGCATATATAGAAAGAAAAAAAAATAATAAATTGCAAACCAACATTTCTGCAAGCCATACGTGCCAAAAACAAGCGCACACAGACATTTAATTGATAAAATTATCGCAGGTCAGACATCAAATCCATTCAAATAACAGAATAGAATTTTTTTTAAAAAAACATTAGGCATTAAATTTAGGAAAAATAATAATTGCGCCCTTAAATTTTAACCTAATTAACATATGAGGACTTCTATTTCTAAAAAGTAATTATAAAGTTCCTAAATTTTAATTCCAACCACAGTTTCGTCCTTCCATCCAAAACACCAACTTTTTAAAATAACATCATCAAGCCAATAGATACCCCGGTATTCTTCAAGTTAAAGAAAATATATTTATCATCAAAATATTTAAGATTAAACACTTAATTCGTACTTGTTCTCCAAACTATGAAACTCATCCATTGCCTTTGAAACGCAATCATTCTTACATAGCCCATTATTTCATATAACAGTACATAAAGGGGTTAGCAAACTTTGAAAAAAACCAAAAACTGAACCAAACTAAATTATTTTCTGGTTTTTGGTTCGGTTATTCAGTTTTTGATTTTGGTTTCAGTTAGAAATTTTCCATAATTTCGATTTCAGTTGGAAATCTTCCATAATTTCGATTTTCGGGTCTTTCGATATGTTTTTCAAAATATTTATTTTTTAAGTAAAACCGAATTGTTAGACCAAACCAATGTCTATCGAACCAAACCAACCAGTTTGGTTTGATTTATAAATTTATTTCGATTTGGTTTGATTTCAAAGAAAATCCATTTTTGGTTTGGTTCGATTCGAAACCAAACCACCCTTTTGCGCACCCCTTTATATAAACAGTAACAGTACAAAAATGCTACTGAATTAAGCCATTATTCTGTACAAAGGACAATAACAGTACAAAAATGCTACTGAATTAAGCCATTATTCTATACAAAGGTGGAACTAGGAAATCATTTTGGGAGAGCCAAATGAAATTTTTTTTAAACTTTTAGGGAGGCCAAAATATAACTTTTGTTATATTTTGAAGAATTAAATTGTCATTTTCATAAGAAAATTTTTTTAGGAGGGGTGGGCCACGGCCTCCTTAGGCTCCAAAGGAGCTCCGCCCCTGATTCCATATATCCAATTCACTAAAAATGAAAAAAAAAAAAAAAACAAAAAAAAGAAAACCTTAGATAAATAGAGAAAGAGGAAATAGGAAGGATTTGTGTTACCAGTAATGACAACTCTACCGGAATGATTAGAGTATGTATGAGAAGAAGAAGAGGAAGATAAGTAACAAGTGAATTGAGAGCGAGACGATGATACAGAGTGGAGACACTTCACACCTTGTCTTGAATTAATTTTTCCTTCCGAAGAGGAGGCTCTAGAAAGCGCTACAATTCGTTTTCGGCCGATCTACCAACAGACAACTCTTACTCGGCAATAGAAGAAATCAATTCCCAACCAGCGGCTGAACCGGAGAGTAGGGTGGAGTCGGAGTGGCAACGAGAATTGGCTAAAATTTTGTGATATTTAAGACTGAAGCTACCAGCAAAATACCCAAATTGGCATAAATAAAGAACCAAAACTCTGGAAATAAAAAAGCAAATAGAAAACTAAACGTCCAGAGATTAAGAAGATAAGGAGAAGAAGATGGCGAAAGAGAGAGGCAAAGAGACTGTTGTGAGAAGCTTAATTAGCAGCTAGGGTAATGAGATTGTTTATTGGGATTTAAATCTCTCTCATTGGACTCACTTAAACTGCTAAGAGTAAGGAGAAAATGGTGTAAATTTGAACAGAATGACGAAATTATAAACAGAATCAAAACTTGGAGACCTTATAATTACTCTTTAGAAATAAAAGCCTTCACGTGTTAATTAGACTAAAATTTAAGGATGCGATTATTATTTTTCCCTAAATTTATAATTATCCCTTATTTCAAATACACTAATCAGAACTATAATGCATTTGAGTACTTAATCTTTCTATTAAATTCACCATTAGAAAAATGAATTAATATAACAGAATAAAATCAAGAAATTTTATATAATTAAACTCTAAAAATAAGCAGTCCCGACTAATATAACAGATATAAAACCGAAAGAACGTATAATTAAATTCTGAAAATAAGCCCCAAGACTAATACGGTTGAATATGACTAAATGACTAAATAGTAATTCACTCTATCCGTAATTTTGCTAAAAAGGAAAAAAAGTAAGAAATACGCTTACTAATTAATTTTACCCAGCGAATAGACATCGCATAATGGGAATATATGAACATGGGAAAGTTTCTATAACAAGAAATTTCCGCTACCAGCCTAGTAGTAATGTCATTCATTTACAAACAGTTTGAATCTGGGGAAATTTGTTCTTCTATCATATGATCAAAAATATATTCCACCAAATGATAATATGCTCTGGCTCTGGATTTTGGAAATTTCCCATTTAAGCCAAAATACTACCAGAAACAGTAGATGATCTATTAATTACGTGAAGCATAAGTATATTGACTAGCGGTGCAGTTCCTTGCCCAGTGCCCAGGCTTACCACATTTGTAACAAGAACCGGCAGCTGCAGTGCCCCTTCCAATCTCAGCAGGAGGATGAGAATTAGGCGATGGATTGGGGCAATCTTTTGCCCAATGTCCTTCATTGCCACATTTGAAACAGGAAGATCCAGTTCTTCCATTGCTTTTGTTGTTTGTGTCATTCATTTTGTTGAAGCCTTTTGATGCACTTGCTGGAAGACCAGCTGTTACAACGTTATCGTTGCACCACTTAAAAAAGCCACATGAACTTCCCTATCCAGCAAAGAAAGCAAAATTACTATCAGACAAAATTGTCTCCACTCCACATGCTCCATCAGGATAGGTAACAAATGTACAAATTACGGCAAAGAGAATTAAACAAACAAACAAACAAAGAGAGAAAATCTCTCGAGCATCCTCCAATTTCGTTCTAATTGTTTGCCATAGCAAAAGGCATTATATACACAATCTTGTGTAGCTCTTTTTCTTGAAAACAAACACAAAATCATAAGGCCAATTCTACTTCTTTAGTCTTAAACTCCTAAGGGGCAAAAATATCATTTCAAGGTTAATTCACAAATGGCCAAGAGCCCATTTTCCTACCTTCCATATCACGGTAAGATTATTATTTGCCAATCCATTTGATTACTATACTATCTTAATTCTCAAGAACAAATTACTCCTACATAATGACATCCAATGTGATGCCAGTACCATAATTGGCTATTGCATACAAACACGTTGTAATTGTAATTTCAACCTATAAATGAGATGGGTCTGCATAAACTTCACTCTTTTATCTTGTGATACACACAGGGATTCTAGAGTCACCTCATCAGTAACTTTCTGAAAGCACCAACAACATTTTGTGAAACCTGTAACAGATATAATATCTAAAGCACAAGTGCAGCAAACTTTTGACCTAGTTAGCTTCACCAACATGCGAGAGAAAATTTTTAGTTTCATTAGCTTGATTACCATAACTTGGATTAGATTATCTTTCACTTTCATAGATCTCGCAGCAGATTCTAAGATCTCAGGTTCAAAAAGATGGATATATAGAGAGAGCTGAAGCATTGTTGTTTGCCAATCATAGAGACAATGATGATTAGCTCATAGTCCAATTAAATGCCACAAAACAATCCTTCTTCAGCTAAAATCATCTCTTAAACATAATCAGCCTCAAAACTGGAGAAATAAATAGGAAAAGCTTATTCTGCTTTTCTAATCTAACGCTAAATAAACAAGAAATAGATCAGTAAGTTTCAACAAACAAAATTGATTGCAAAAGTTTTTGAAAAATAAGATTGCAGGTACAGAAATCCACTTTTTTCCTTCTATTATTTATGAGCAATTCCTAATTAGAAGTCAAAATAAACATATTAAAAGATGAGAGGACCTGATTTGCAGGGCAACGATAGAATTGTTGGCCAATGTTGTTCCCAGTTTTGGCAGTCAAAATCAAGCAAGATCCGGCTCCACATGGACAAGGAAGGTCTGAAAACCCAAAATTAGATGCAATATTTCGATGCCCAACAAAAATGTTATGGTTATTCATTCCAGAAGCATTATCGCACCACTCGAAGAAGCCACAGCCACCATTTTCCTGTACGAAAAGGGGAAAATAAATTTTTCGCCATTACAACACAAATTCGGACTGAACACATATTTCGATATTTACGAACCTGTCTAACAGGACATTTGTAGAACTTACGGCCATGATTCCTCTCAGTATTAGCAGTGAAAATAACACAAGCACCCAAACCGCAAGGGCAGCTCTTCTGAGGAACTAACGGCTCGGATGCGTCGGTAGAATCGACAATAGAACCACCAACAGCGTTTGATTGGTTAGAATAATCAGGAGAAAGAGGCTTGACTCTAGATCTGGTTGAGCTAGTGTTTTGTTGTTGCCAGAAAGGACTCTTGGTTCCTCTAAGAGCAGTAATGTAAGCCCCTTCTTCAACTGCAACAACAACCCCCTCCTGCTTCTTCTTCTTCTTCTCAATAGCGTCGTCAAGAGGATTGGTTACGCGACACCGTTTGTTGGAAAGGGCGCGGGCTTCCGCTTCAGCCACTCTTGAGATAAAGTCATCGTCGTCCTCTTCAATTTCTATCATTGATTCAATTTTCATCCCTCGCTCGCTCTCATCAGCTTTCCCTCTTTTATTTGTTGCTTTTATCCCGCCCAATTTCTATTGTAATTCTTTTTAATTATTGCTTTTCTTTTTTTTTTTTTTTTTTTCTATTGTAATTCTTTTTAATTATTTTTTTTTTTTTTTTTTTTTGGTTGGAAATGCATGTAAATGGATGGTTCTATTCCTGTGGTTGGTTTTGGGATTTTTGAGTTTCAAATTTGCATTAAGAAATGTAATTTGTTATTTTCTATTCTAAATAATAGAAGCTTATTATTATGTATAAAGATTTGCTATATATTACGTTTTTTAAATAACATAAGAAATATATACTATAATAATAAATATAAAATATAATTTATCTATAATCTATATGAAATAACCAGAATTTTTATTTTCAAAGATTTTTCGTTTAAATTTAATAAACTGACAGCGTGGAAAATGTATTTAAATATTTAAACGTGAATTTAAACGTGATTAAATAATTTGGTACAGTTATAAACGAATTCGAAAACACATTGAAAAATTGAAAATCAAAACAAAACGAAATCAAATCGAATCAGCCCAAACCACTTCTAGAAGCCTCTCCCCTCTATATCCAGCGCAAACTTCACCCTCCCCTCACCATTTCTGCAACACCTCTAGCAGCGCCACCACTGCCACCTCCTCTTCTTCTCTTCTTCTCTTCCTCCTTCTCTCTCTTCTTTTCTTTCTTTCCTTCTCCTTTCTCTTCACCTGCGTCTGCGTTTCTGGCGAGAAACAGAGCAGCAGCAGAGGCACCGGGTCAATCGCGCCACCTCGCTGCCGCTCGCCGTCGCAGTAGCTCCGCCATCACCGTTCCTCAGTTCCCGTTCAGGCTAGCACAGTTGACAGGAGCAGCACCACAGTCGATCTATCGCGCCACTGCCCTGCCGTCGCTCCAGCGCGCCTCCGACCACCAGGAACGGGTCTGTCAAGCTTCATCGCGCCGCCTCATGCACTGAGTCAGATTCCGGCCATTTGCTTGCAGTTCCAGCGCGCGTGAGCTCGATCCCTCGATCTTAGGCAAATTCGACAAAAATTATATTTTGGGGTAACAATCAATTTTAATATTTTTAGTTTTACTTGGAATTACATTTTATTATTGTAGTTAATTAATTTTTATGTAGTGAATTAATTTAAGTGTATTTAAATTTGTTTGAAATTAATAAATATTTAGTTAGTAATTTTTAGTTATTTAGTTGTTAAATAATTCAAATAGTTATTGATTAATTATGTGAGTAATATTAGATTAATAAAAACATAGTTAGTTAAACTTAGATTTCAGTATTAATAATTTATTGAGGAATTTGATAATATATTATGAGTGGAAGAGAAATGAGAAATTAGAGTTTGAAAGTAATGTTGGATATTGTTATTTCGATCGGATGGAGGATGGGAAAAAATTGAATTGAATGATTGCCCGATGGATGGGCTGTGTGGTTTGAAATTATTGGTATATTGTTGATATTTTAACAGGTAGATAGTTCAATTTTTAGGGGAGATGCTGCCGAAATTTCGGCAGAAAATAAAATAATTTCGGTAGAAAACAAAATAACTTTCGGTAGAAAAATAAAATAAATTTCGATAGAAATTAAAATAGATTTCAGTAGGAAATAAAATAGATTTCAAAAGAAAATAAATGAAATAAAGTTAGAGAAATAAAAAAATTTATTACAAAAAAGAAATTAAATATCGAGATTAAATTACGTAGAAAAATTTAGAATATAAAATAAAAATATTAGAAGGGTAAAGAAATATTAGTCGGATAGAGTTATTTCTTTTTGTATCATTCTTACTTTGCTTAGATCGCCTGGGTCCATCTAGTGCGCCTCCAGGACAACATCAAAGCTAGAATTTCGCTCTCCATCACAGTGAGTAATAGTAAATAATGCATATCAACACTGCATTTGCATAACATTTATTTATAAATCTTATATTTTTATTTATATATTTACAATATATTATAAGTATTTTATCATATATATTATGTATTTTCATATATATTAGTGTTTACGAATCATTATAATTTATACTTATATTAATTGTGCATGTGGTGATGAAATTTGGTGATACGTTGAAAGAATTGTTTGATTACTTGTGTGGCATATACTGTCCCTTGTTTGTGTGGAATTTGGGGATGACCAGGTGGTCACCATGGTTTTTGTGAACTGTTCTGTTATACGACCCGGATTTCTGATTGTTTGTTATAATCTGATTCTTGGTTATATGGATCTGATTCTGTTTTCTGTTAGCCGGGTAAATGGAGATCCGGCGCGCCCCCGTGTGCAACTAGCCGTTACCGTTAGCTGTTAAGACCACAGGGTTGGCTTCTTTAATTGGGCGCACCGGTAATCTAGATGATCGCAGCCCGCAGGGTGCCATCCTGTGTGAGCGCCTGATGACTAGAATTGGTGATGGAGGACGACCCGGTTGCCTCCTGTTGGTAATGAAAGAAAAGAAGATGGAAAAACAATGAAGAGGGCTGGGTCCAAGTAGGATTTAGACCTGGTCGGCCAGTATGGGGGATCAGGCCCTGGTGCACACGTGAGAGGATGAGCCATGTGGGAGGACGGCGTCATCGGGGGTTCGGTGAACTCCACTGACATAATTTTCCACGTGAATGTGCATTTGAAGGTGATCATTGGTTGTTTGGGGTGCTGATTGTAAATGTCGATATAGAATGGACTGTTGTGGTGGTTTCATTCAGTATACTAGGGTGCATTTTGCTTGACTGCATGTGGGTGTGATATTATTTATTATTATTCACTGAGCTTGCAAACTCACCCCCTCCTCTTTTTCACCAAAACTCTCAGGTACTAGGAACAGCGCATTCAACTGAGCTCTGCAATCTTCTCCCGCAGACGTTATAAAATGTAAACTTTATATTCTGTCATTATTAATTTTTGGATGTACATAATTAATTCTATTATCAGAATATTATTGAACTCCCGAGTTATAGGGGTCGGTATTTCCAAATTGGCTGCCGTATGCGTTGGTTTTATAAACGGTTGGTTTGTATATATTAAGAACACGGAGAATCAGTATGCATATTAATGAACGTGATTTAGATAAATGAACTAGCGCCCAAATAATTTTTATTGAAGATAATGTAAAATTGGGGGCCGGGTTGTATAATATATTTACATTTATATCTTAACTTGTATGGCTTACTGTTCTATTAAATGGTATGGAAATGTATACGTTGAGTAATTAGGCTTAACTAAACGGCCTCCGGGGGCTATGCTTACCATGGGCCCTGTGCCTGGTCCCGGGCCCACGGAAACGGGGGTCGGAAAAGTGTTATCAGAAGCAAAAGTTCATAAGTGCAGATGTAACTACGGACGTAATTCTGTCATGTCTTGACCCAATAGTCTTCCTTGCTTTCGTCCTTTCAGCGTTCGTTCGCAATCACGTTAGAGTCAAGTTGTTTAATGAAAGTTGTTTAATGAGTAAAATTTGTATCCTTGTTCTTTAGAGATGTGATTTAGTTACTGATGCTAACGGGATGGTTTAAACAAAAATCCTTATATGGAATAAATAATATCCATATATAATTTAAGTATGTAAGAAGATAAGTTATATAGGTTTAATAAGTTGAAGTTAGATGATGAAAGTGTGCTATTTTTATTTAATACGTGTTGAATGTGGAATACATCTATAAGAATGCATGATTGTATGTATATGTGTGCCTATAGAAGGGGTATGTTGAGAATGAGTTGATAGTGTAAATTGATAAGAAAACTAGATGGTTCTAATTCAAGGACATTAGGATTTATTTAATTAGAATTTTAATTGAGAGATATTGATTTAGCATACTGTTTGATGAAGTTTTACGTTGATGTTGGTTGGTGGAATTTATTATAACTATCGGGAAGAGCACTTTTTCTGCATGAGATATATATTATCTTGAGTAGTACAGTTTACATAAATGATACATACAAGGTTTCAAATAAATAAATGAATTTGGTGTGACTTTGAAATATTAAATTGACGATGAAACGTAATTTCCATAAGTAATACTGTTCGTAGATTATTTTATGAAGTGAGTTTTTTATTTAATGAGTAATTCACTTCTTAGTAGAAAGTAAAAGGTGCTATTGTAGTATTCATCACTATTTCTTTTTCAAGTGTATGAATATAGGGTATAAAATAAATTTACGAGTTTTACATTGACCGAATTATATATGAAGTTTATAGGATATACTATGGTAAGTGCCAAGTGTTATGGAAATAAAAGTAACTGAAGAATAAGAGTTTGATAAAGAATCATGGATTTAAGCTTCGAAATGACGATAAAAATGTGAATAAACTGTATTTCTTGATGCAAAGCTAGTTTAGAATAAGAATTCCTATTAATTAGTGCCAACTTTTGCAAGTTACTTGTTTTTTAATTGGGTAGAGAAGAAAAGTTTATATTTAGTCCTTAGTAGAACATGAAGGTAATTAGAGTATTTTCCATTCATTAGTGAGTTGGCTAGGTTTTAATTTACTATTTAGTTTAGGATATTGAAAAAATTTGTGCAAGAATACGAACGTGAACTTGAGATAGGTTTTCCACAATTTTTGGTGAGGAGAAATACCTGCTAAGTAGTTTTTGATGGTGAATTTAAAATTCTCCTTATAGTTGATGTGGCTACTGTTTTTATGGGATTCTCATTAGTAGGATATGAAAGGAGATAGTGATAGTTATCTTTCGTTGGAATGGTTTAAATGATGAATTAAATTAGGTGATGACTTTGGGATAGAGGTCAGAATCTCCTATCAGTTGGATAGCATTTAGCTAGAGAATTGTCATGATTTTGGGTTTGAAATAGCTGTGTCAGTAGTGGTTTGATAATAATCCCGTAAAAACCTCCTTTGAATTGGAGCAACCTATCTATCTATTATAAAACTTCTTCCATGATTATAGGAGCACATGATATAATATTTGGAATTGGATGGAAAATGGATGAGTCAGCAATGTAGTTTTGAACCTTTTTATGGAACCTAAGGAGTCCAAAATTGGGATGTAAGT